GGTCAGGAGGCCAGGTGGGAGGCCAGACAGGGGTCAGGAGGCAGGCCTCCAGTGAGGGCAGCGGTCAAGAAGCCAGGTGGGAGGCCAGACAGGGGTCAGGAGGCCAGGTGGAAGGCCAGACAGGGGTCAGGAGGCCAGGAGGGAGGCCAGACAGGGGTCAGGAGGCCAGGAGGGAGGCCAGACAGTGGTCAGGAGGCCAGGTGGGAGGCCAGACAGGTGTCAGGAGGCCAGGAGGGAGGCCAGACAGGGGTCAGGAGGCCAGGGACAGCAGGGCAAGGTAGGGCGCCCACCCAGGAGGAGGTGGAGGCAGGCGGGGAGGGAGGGTGCGGGGACAGAGGAGGCTGGCAGAGCATGACGGATGCCCAGTGCTGTGATGAGCAGTGCGCCCAGTGGCAGACGGCCAGCCTGCCACCCAGAGGCCCCACCGGCCAGCCTCGTGGGACCCTCCCTGGCTCTCCTCCTAGCCTGCCCGCCCGCCCTCGTCAGGGCGTGCCCCTCTGGCTGCAGCTCTGCCGACCCCCCAGCGGGTGCCCTTGGAAGTCCCGCCTGGCAGGTGCGGGAGAGCCCCAGAGACAGGTCGTGGTGGGTGGGTGCCCCTAGGATAGGAGCAGCACAGATGCCGCGGGGCCTGTGCCCTGGCGGTGATCCTGTCGCTGACCTTGGGGACAGGCACCTAAGACAGACCGGCAGTGGCTTGGCTGGCCCAGGCTCTCGCTGCTGGTGGGGCRCAGGGGCTGGGCCTGCTCCCCGGGTTCCTGGCTGGCCTAGTGGTGCCGTGTGCACACCGCTGCCCAGAAGGCGACAGCGTGGCAGCAGTGCCTGGTTCTGCGCAGACTGGCCTTGAACTCGGTACTCTGAGGCCTGCTGGTTTTCCGCGGTCACCAGACAGGAGAGATCCCTCCTCTCCTGGTGCCTGCCGATGGAAACAACGCTGCTGGGCTGAGAGGAGCAGCCTGGGTGGGACCTTGGCCCACTCGGCTCCTTGCAGCTCCTCTGTGCCCTGTCTGTCCCACTCCAGAGCTAACCAGTCTGGGGTTTCTGGAACCCGGCTCCGAGGCGGGAAGACTGAGGCACCTGGAGGACGTCACCGACATTGTGCGCAGAGATGTGAGTAGGCCCTGCRCTCCCAGACCCAGGCTCAGGGAGGACAGGGGACTGAGGCCAGGGACAGCAGGGCCAGGTAGGGGGTGGGGAAGGCCAGGATCAGGGGAGCCTCCTGGATGCCACTCTGGGGCCTCCAGGCCAGCGAGGGCTTGGGGCCCAGTGAACGGTGCTCCCTGGCTCCGTGGGCCTGCAGTGCCCTCAGCACAGAGCCGGRCAGCGGCCAGACATCCTGAAATCCAGTGGCCCATTTCTGTCCCATGATGGGGTGCTGCCCAGCCAGGGGGCCTGACCCCCCCTCCACCCTCTAAAATAAAGAGGCAGGGGCTGGGACCCGACGGCCGCCCATCGTTTGAAAACCTCCCATGGGCKGTGGGACCTGGGCATCCACGCAGGGGCTTCTCTCGGGGTGAGTCCCACTCTGCGCTGGCGGCTGCTCCCCAGAGCTGGGTCCCCTCCCACCCCATCCTGCTGGGCGGTCGTTAAAGGAGGGCACAGCGTCCTGCCACAGAGCTGGGTGCCACAGCAGACCCAGCTGTCCCTCCTCCCTGCCCTCCTGTATTCGCACCCCAGCCACCAGGCGGGGCCCAGGACGGACATAGGCAGGAGGAGCAGGAGGGCGGGCTCAGGTCTCCCTGCTGCCCAGAGCTGCCGGAGCTTCTTCCTGCTTGCTTGGGGGTGCCGGGATTGAACCCCACCTATTGCCCCAAATGCTTCACTGCTGAGCTGAACCCCAGCTCAGGGTCCACTCTGGATTGGGCTATCGAAAGTGGGGTCCAGTATCCGGTGTCTCTTGAACTTCTAGGAGAATGACCCGGGGCTGGGTTGTCGCTGACCGTGGGTGGCCCTCTGGGTGCCGAGGCGCCTTGGGCTGTGGGTGTTGAAGAGCTCCTTCGTCCCTGAGGGGGCAGGGATGTGGCTGGCTTGACTGTCGGGGTGCGGGGGTTGTGTGGACTGGCCACTTCCCAGGCAGCACACCAACCCGTGGCAGGGAGTCCATGGTCCCAGGGGCCCAAGGTTCCACCCAGGAGCAGTGGCCATTCTCAGATGGCCCCTGTGCCGGGTGTGCCCCAGAGGGCAGGGTGGCTGCTGATGACTCAGCTCTGGGGGCTCCTCTGCCCCCAGGGATCCTGGGAGGGGTCACCACATCCTATTGGACAGGGCATCTCGGCCCCAGGGCTGAGCGCTGGGCTCGCAGTGACAACCGTCCCACTAAATAAGGACATTCTCCAGCGAGCCGTGTCCTGCCYGTGTCCTGTAGGTGGAGGAATGGGGCCCCTTCGACCTCGTGTACGGCTCGACGCCCACCCTGGGCCACGCCTGTGACCACTCTCCTGGTAAGATGCCCTCAAGAAAGGGCTGGGTCTGCTCCACTCACCAGGGCGTCTGTCCCCAGCCCTGTCACCTCTCCTCTCTCCCACCCACTGCAGCGCCTCTGGGAGGGCGGGAACAACAGGAGGGCTGTCACTGACGCATGGCAGGTCCCCTAGCACGTCCCATAGCACGTAGTGGGTCACCTGTCTGGCCATGACAAGAGAGTGGTTACCGTCACCCCAAAGGCTGCCTCGGGCCCCGCTCTAGGCCCTCCAGCCCACCAGGTGGCCTCCAGGTCATGCAGGCTCTGGAGTCCGAGGCGGAAGGCAGGGTCAGTGGTCAGTGTGGGCCCCTGTCCCTGTCCTTGCTGAACCTTGGCCTCTCTGGATAAGGTCGGGACCTGTGAGCCTCTGCGGCCCTGGCCAGGTGCTGCTCCTGGGAGGGGGACAGAAGTGTAAGGGGTGGGACACCCAGGCCCTCAGCCCTCGCCCACCTCACGGCCAAACCGCCCCCGCAGGGTGGTACCTGTTCCAGTTCCACCGCCTCCTGCAGTACGCGCGGCCGCGGCCCGGCAGCCCCCAGGCCTTCTTCTGGATGTTTGTGGACAACCTGCTGCTGACCGGGGAAGAGCAGGCCATAGCCGCTCGCTTCCTGGAGGTACGTGCCCGGCTTCCAGGGGCTCACGTCCACCCAGCTCCCGGCCTGGCCTCCCCCGGGGCCACRCACAGAGGCGCAGACAGGAGCTGGACACCCACCCCACGCCACCACCGCGCTCTCCGCACGTGCCCCCCGGGTGCCACCTCCTGCCCTGCCTCCCAGCGAGCACATGGGACACACTGGTACCTACACACACGCACACCAGGACTCACTCACACACTGCACCCACACAGCAGGACTCACACCAGGACTCACACGCACACCAGGACACACACACACTGCACACACACAGCAGGACTCACACACATTACACACACGCACACCAGGACTCACACACACACACACCAGGACACTCACACACTCACACTAAAACAACACACACAGCAGGACTCACACGCACACTGCACACACATATCAGGACTCACACCAGGACTCACACGCACACCAGGACACACACACACTGCACACACACAGCAGGACTCACACACATTACACATACACACACCAGGA